AAATCATTGATGCAGAAATTTAATAAAGAAGAATAAATAGGGTTAAAATTGTATTCACGGTAATTTTTTTGGCTTTCTGCTACTAATTTTTCTAATTTATGGAGAATATAATAATCTGCTGGATTTAAATTTGTCTCTAAGTCTTTTTCACTTTTTATCTCTGGTGGTAAATTGGCTAAATTGCCAAGTAAAAACCGCAAAGTGTTGCGGATTTTTTGATAACCTTCTTGCAGATTTTCTAAAATAGGGATACTAACTTTTACTTCTTTGGTGAAATCCGAACTAATTACTCATAAGCGGAGAGTATCAACACCAAATTTTTCAATAATGTCTTCGGGGTCAATCACATTACCCAAAGATTTTGACATTTTATGTCCTTTTTCGTCAACTACAAAGCCGTGGGAAAGAACTTGTTGATAAGGGGCTTGGTTAGTCAGAATGACGGAAGTAATCAAGGAAGAATTAAACCAGCCCCGAAATTGGTCTTGACCTTCAACATAGGGAGTAGCAGGTCAGTAGATTATTTTTTCGCTATATTTATTTTTCATTTCCGTTTTTTGCATAAATTTTTTTCAATTGCTTTCTTAATTCAAATTTTCTAGTTAAAATTTCTTTCATTATCTTACTATTTTCCAGCAATTTTTCTTTATCCTTTGGAAAGGTTAACCTAATTTCTTTAATTCTATTGCTTAAATGAGGAACAGTGGAGTAAAACAATAGTTTATCCACTTGCTCTTTAACCTTTTCACTATTGAGAGCATAAACAAAGTTTCAAGTGTCTATTCCATAGTTATTTTTGATAACTCTAATTTTGTAGAACCCAGCAGCAAATATAATTTTTTCCTCTTCCGGCATAATTATAGCACACTCACCTACCAAATGCCTCCCATCTTTTACTAATAAAATGTCATAGAGTTTAATATCTTGTTTATCTTTATATTTTTGATAAATCTCCTCACTAGTAAAATGTTGGGGGTTGCTTCTGATTTCTAAATTAGTAATGTCGGAGGTTCTAATAAATGGTATGGTGCCACTTTCCAAATAATTTCTGCTCCCTATTTCATCACCGGTCGGAATATTTTTATTCTTGTTAACTTCTATTATGCCATTGTCAATAATTTCTCTGAAAGTCAGAACTAATTGGTTACTTTTTATTTCTTGTTGGTTAAGAAAACCATTGTAATAACTAGGAATTAAAATTAGGTCTTCGGTTTTTTTTATGTCTCTATGTGTAATAAAAAAAACTTTGTCTTTTTCGGTTGACTTTTGATAATGAGTAATTTCATGACGGTTTTTTAATTTTGCAGCCAGGCTATCCAATTCATCATTAACCACAAAATTTCCATTTTTATCTTTCTGCGGAACGCCGTTGCTAGCATAATTGTATAAAATTTTTCCTCTTTTGTCATGACCGATATTTTGAATTTCGACACAAATAATTCTATCCTCATCATTAGCTCGGCTGTTCTCTAAAACTAAAATTGCTGGCTTTACGCCGGTAAAAGGTTTAAAAGTTTCCGGGGGAAGACTAAAAACTGCTATTATTTTGTAGTTTTGAAGTAAAGTTCTCCGAAGTTCACGATAAATTTTATTGCCAAAAATACTGGCTTCTGGTAAAACTATGGCTAACTTGCCACTTTTTGCTAATAAATTACAGCATAATTCAAGAAATAAAATTTGTGGTTCGGCTTTGTTTTTTTTGCTTTGAGAATTTAGCCGTCAGAAAGTAAATTTTTTGAGAATTTCCTCCTCCTCGACCATAATTTTCTGGCCAAAAGGAGGATTAGTTAAAATGATGTTATATTTTTTCTCTCAACTAGTAGTAAATTTTATTAAACTGTCCTCATTTCAAATATTAGTAGTTCCATCGCCAAGAATACACATATAGGCCTTGCATGTTTGAGATAAAAAACTGTCTCTATCGCAGCCAAAAATGTTTTTTTTTGCTATTTTGATCTTCTCGTTTTCTAAATCCTCTTTTTTTCATTTTGCTGAATATTTATCATCAAGTTTTTTTCAAACATATCGCAAATATTCAACAATAAATCCGCCTGTTCCGCAAGCTGGGTCAATTATTTTTTGGGTTTCATCTACATCCAAAAAACTAATCACAAATCTTACCACATTCCGCGGAGTAAAAAATTGTCCGTGTTCTCCTTTTAAGGCGGTGCCAATAAATACTTCAAAAGCATCAGCCACCGCATCCCGACCAGAATTTTTAAAACTAATTCATTGTAATTTTTTAACAATAAAAACTATGCTTTTATCATCCAGTTTAATTTCCTCTGATTGGTCAAAAACATCTTCAAATTTACTTTTAACCTTAACAAAAATTTCTCGAACTTTTTCCGAACTTTCTTGGGAATTATCAGTATTAGCATAAAAGTCCACAAATCCGTTTTCACTTTGATATCTTTCATCAAAAATTTTACAAAATAAAATTTTTAGAACACTCTTTGCTATATCAGGTTCATTAGTGCTACCAATAACAGTCTTTTGTAGACTTTTTTTAATTTGATAAAAAACACTTTTTAGATTTTCACGCGGTTTTAATTCCTCATAACGAGGATGGGTTTCTTCCCAAACACCACGAGGCAAAATATCATTCAATTCTTGAAAAGAAATTCCTTGATTAGTTTCAATTTTCTTTAAAACTATTCGTTCCTTGCCATTAAATCAAACCCCGATTTTGGCTTCGCACATTCGTAAATATTTCCTTAATTGTTCTTTGCCTTCCGGCGACGATATTTTTTTACATTCACAAATTATTTTGAGCTTATGATTTTCGAAAACGGCAATGTCGACTGGATAACTTTTCTTTTCATCGGAAGGAGAAAGAGAGATCCGAAATTGCGGATGAGTTTTTATTTCTTCCCTCTGATAGTCGTAAACTTCCACCAATTCCTGAGCCAGGGGTTGCACCGCCTCCAATTCTTCAAGAGTAGCATTTACTTTTATTCCCGAAATGTAATCAGTTATTTTGTTATTCATGTCTTCTTACCTATTTCTGTTTTTTAAGTTTTTTAAATTAAAAATTATGTTTAATTTGCTCCCCTTTACCAAGTTATATATTAAATTTTACTATTCTTCATTTTTTTACATCTTTAACATTATTTCAATAATTTCCTTCAAATTTTCCTGATAAATGGTTGACAAACCCCCATCATTCGCTCGCCTTTTCCATAGAGTTCAGCCATTTTCATCAATTTTTTCGATGGTTTTTTCATCCCATTTTCCGCGGGAAACAAAACAAACCAATAATTTGGAACTGATATTCAACAATTTGCGGTCAACCTTATCTTTAATTAAATGTTCGCCACTAGTGTCAACCACAATAATTTTATTTTGGGCAAAAATTAAGAAATCAGGATAAAAATTTCGAGTCGAACCCTGAGTAATTAAGGGAATAGGATAACCAGTGCGGGAGGGATTACGACCTCATTTTAGGTTAAATTTATCCAGTTCGCGAGCAAACTCAATTTCTAATTTGTTTAATTGAGAATATTTTTCATGAATGCTGTTGTCAAAATTAATAGCCTTAGAAGAGTTATATAGAAATAAATCAGGCACGGTATATAACTCACTTTCGTTTGGCTCAAGTTGAGAATTTTTTAAATAAACTTTAATAACTTCGTCTGCCGTTTTAATAATTTGCTCGTAAACATTAGATTTAAAACCAATTAGAGCATCGAATTTGGGGTCGTCTAGCAAAATTGTTCTCCTAACTTGGGGAAGTTTACGAATAATTTCTCGATAAAAATGGCTCGGGCCGTAATTTGGTCAGTTTCACCAGTTTTTTCTTGGCGGGTTTCCTGAAAATTTCCTTTTTCGTCAATATATTTTTTGGTAATGGTTCGGTAGCCGCTGCCTAGGGTATTAATTTTATCAGTTCTTCAATCCGACATTTTGCTAATAATTTCAGTTATTTCGGGTTCAGCATCAGCCGCATTGACAATTATTTTCGGTAATTGGTAAATGCCTTGGACTTTAACTATTTCAGGTTTTTCCGCCGAAGTAGTTGGTTTAATTTCAATACCGGGACCATTTTTTTGG